CTTGTAACTACGATAATTATGGGGAAAAGGACAGCCAGATGTGGCTGCACTGCTATCTCTCATAATGGTATCTTATTATTATTGTTGTTGATAAGTGGGAGTAAGAAGTAATAAGATAATAGAAGTGCTCTGCTCTTGGTCTGGTCGAGACAGGACTCGTGAGTCAAGAGGAAGTGGAAATGGTAAAAAATAAAAATCGTGATAGTTTTTTTTTTTTTAATAACATTTAGTTAATTATTGCTCGCTCATCTGTTCCGTCCGCTCATGTGTAGGGTTCGGCACGTCGCACGTGAAATAATTGAATTCTATTATAATATTGTAATTGTTTTAATATTTTATAATATCAACATTTTCATTCTTATGGTTTTTGTTCGATCACTGTGTTAAGTATTACATCGTTCTATATTTATATATCAAAATTTTTTATAATTATTTATTTTTACTACGTTGGTGTAAAATTTAACAACACACTGAGCTTGATGAACGTTCATCAGCGATATGTTCACTACAAAGGATCATCATCATATACTGATTATTGTCAAAGTGCTAGTTCTCATATTCTTAACATTGATCCATATTCAATGTGTTTGCTGTGAGTACTTTAAAGCCTATATTAATTGTATCCATCACAAGTCTCACAATATTTATAATAGTTACCTGTACTATATAAATAGAAGGTAATTTGTTGAGTTGTAATTAATATTTCTTTCCTTTCGATTTTTTGATATTGTAAGTTGTAATCAAATTCGATGTAAGTAGGTGGGTACCCAAACAGTCCCATTAAATAATGTTTGTTACTACTATTTTAAATTGGACCACATTGCTGATTGAACCATTTTAAATTTAATGAATATACCTATCATAAGCTTTTCTGATAAAAAAAAGTATAATGTAGGTACTTGTTATTATGTTATTTTAAGCATATTATCTTAAATCTAATGGGGAAGATATATCATGTAGATTTATTTACCAAGCAGAGTTTTCTAAATTGAGCGCATAGTTAAATTTATCATTTTTATTTCAATGGGGAATATATTTTTTTTTATGGTTAGTCAATGTATGATTATTATTTTTTTTTAAATTACAATGTTGAAGACATATAATTTAATAAAATGTTTTATAAGTTCAGAAATTATTTCCATTAGTAGGTATAATTGGCATATTGCCATTAAGATCTAAATACATWTGTTCATTGTACTATATTCATCTTGGTAAATTTTTTTTTATTGTTGACTCCGTTTAAACAACAGTTTTTGCAGTGTTTTAATATCTATATGTTTTAATAATATTTGTTTTTTTTAACTGGTGAGCACGAGTCTTGGACTTTTTTATTCAAATTTCCATCAGAGTTATTCTGAGGCAATTTGAGTACACATTTTTATATTTTAAGTGGTTTCTAAAATTGTAAAATACTCTTTTTTTCTAATAGTATTCATCCCTAGTCCTTAATTTATTCTTGATATGACAATCACATTGTATTTGTTTTTGAATAAATATTAGGATTGTAGAGAAAAGAGGGCATGCTTTTAAGCTTCCTCCTCAAAGGTTTATGTCGGTTACATGAACAATCATAAAACTTTTAACGAAAAAATAATAAACTAATGGTCCCTAAACAAGATTTAGTGTACATGATTGCAGGTCTGTTAAAGTTATAAATTTTTCATGCAACCCAGTCAGCATAAGTCTGTGTACAACACTAATAATATATTTATATCTACAAATTAGGTATAACTTTAAATTAAAAATATTATTTGTTTATTTACTTAATTCACATATACAGTATGATTCCTCTTAAAGGTAACATTAAATAATTTTGTCCAGTGATATTGGATTGGGATGGGATGTTTTTAAATAGTTAGGGACTTTAAAATACACATCTTGCATTTTTTTTTGAATAACAACTGTTTTAGATAAACTGAAATTTTTTAAGTAAATTTGATCCTTTTTACCACGCCTCTAAATTCAAAATTGACTAAATGTTAAGTTAAAGTTTTGATTAAAATTTTTGAATTTTTCAACAATTGTGCTAGAATTTTATTAATTATCAAGCAATTCCAAGTATTTTTTTTTTTTTTTTGTATTCGTAGGCCTGCAGACATTTGAATCCAACATATTCTAATATCATTTATTATATTATACATATTATAACAGATAATTGTGTTTTCATTTAATGCTCACTACAAGAATAATGTGCCGGATGCAAAAATATTTCACATACCTATGCACGTACACATCTCACATTTAAACATTTTCCCCATTAATAAGTACGTTGCGAGGTACGTTATATACGAGAAGTTACTTTTACTTTTTACTAGTTGTTTTGCCTCGTGTTGTGCTAATGTGCTATACAATTTATATTCAACTTTATCCTTTATTATAATATAATTTGTGTTTTTAATAGGTACCTAATTGTTTTATAATATGATGACTATTAAAGTTAAAGCATGTTTTCCATTTACATAGGCAAATCTGGGAAATCCTTACAGATAATCGGTAAATAGTTGTGATAGTTTTAAAATATAATAAGTGATTGATACTGTGTAGATGAAAATTAATATATGTACATACCTAATGTCAGCATTTTAGGTATCATATAKTTTTTTTTTAACTTAATGAATAGGTAATACATTATACTAAATTAGTATGATGTATTAACTAGATACTATTACTAACTTTGTTATGCAACAGTTTTTGTTTTGTATTGATAAAATTAAACATCTAACAATAGATACCTACATGATAATATTTAGGTTAACTGTTTAAATTATAATATATCATTGTGTATTAAGTACTGACATTGTTTTTTTTTTTGACATAATGTCAATATTTTATATTTAAGCCCGTATTTAAGCATTCTCATTATTTTTTACGATAAACTGCCATGAGTTAAAAAACTTAGATTCAGTATTCCAGTGGATAAATGGCTAGCACAACTATTAGTTTTACCCTGTGCTTTTCAGTGACCAATCATTAAATCTTATGATMTAGAAATTTTGTTAAAAGCTATTGCTTCGCAAAAGAACCATTTGCCATCTCCATTTTGTTTTAGTTATAGCTATTTCAAGATTAAGATGTTTCTGTTTGCTGCTTGGCCGCAAAGTTGTGAATGAGGTTATGAAGTATTTCAGTAAAAGTAATCAAATAATTTTTTAAGTATTGAATAATTTTCTAAATACTTTCAACATGAAGTATTCTAAATATCTTTTTTTTTGTATTGGTGTGGATCAGAGGCGTACTGAAGGGTGTCCGGCCCATTAGGAATACGGAGTTCCCGGCCCAAATAGTGGTGAAAGATGTAGCCTATATATATTACATATATATTATTTTGTTGTTAATATTGTTATGATACCCGTTATGATATAAATATTAAGTACTAAATAGGTAAAATATAAATTAGGTTATTATAGGTAGGTAGGTGTATGAGATTTCATGTACTTATATTTTGTCGTCAAACATACATCATATTAAACGTTGTAGGCTATCTATAAGTTTTTAAATCCTTATTATTTACAAAAAACTGTTGCATATCAACTTATTCCATTTTTTTTTTTTTTTTTTTTTTTTTTTTAATGACTGTGACTAACACTATTATTTTTTAAAGTCTAATATACAAAAACACTATTCACTTATTATATTATTACTATACATAATACACAATACACATGTGTATTTTAAAATGTTGACCATCTGCARTGTGTCATGTACAGGTAAAAAATTGATTGTGACTAACCATTGGCGCAACTAGGGGGGTGCAAAAGAGTCTTTAGCACCCCCAAGTTCTAATTTAGCACCCCTTGATATTTTAGATCTAACTATTATGATTATAATGAAATAACATCAATTTTATGTTTTTAATAGTATAGCACCCCACGTTTTAGAGGTCTAGTTGCACCTATGTGACTAACGTTTTGGTAACAAATTAAGCTATAAAGCTGTTAGGTACTTAAAAATAACTTCACTTATATTTTGCATTATAATAACTATTAAGTTGAGGAAAAACATTATTTATAATTATAATATTTAATAAAAATCAAATAATTTATTTTTTTTTACAATGAAAACCTTTTAGACATAACATTAGAACTAGCTTTTAAGTCATCTGGTCATCAATAGACAATAGTATATTAGTATATGCAATTTATTCAGAATACTCAACATTGTCTTTGTTTTTTTTTTGTTTGTTTGTTTACGATTAGTCAACTATTAATGCAATTATGTACATATAATAACAAAAATGTATTATTGCATTCAATTGTCACAGGTCACAGCTGCCGACTGTTTCTTTCTTTAAATAAAAAAAAAATTGAAATTTGAACATCATCAAGTTTTCACATGAGTTTTCACATGCTTCTTAATTATCTTGATTCATATTAGTCTTAAGTATCGTTT